ATCTTCTAAGGATGGGAATGCAAAGAAGAAAGAGAGGTTACTTACCAGGAACTGATCTTTGAGCATCACTTCTATGTATTCACACCACCCACCCACCATCCCCTAGATCTTTGAGTTCTATATAGTATCAGGATGTTGTGCTTTGGGGAAAAAAGAACCAAGGTGGTTGGGAGATACACTCCTTTTTATAGAGTAGGGCAGGGGTGGCCAACCTGTGGCTCCGTAGCCACATGCGGCTCTTCATAGGTTAATATGCAGCTCCTTGCATAGGCACTGACTCTGGGGCTGGAGCTATAGATGCTAACTTTCCAATGTGCCAGGGAGTGCTCAGTACTCAACCCCCTGCTTTGCCCCAGGCCCTGCCCCCACTCCACCCCTTCCCCCGAGCCTGCCATGCCCTCGCTCTTCCCCCCTCCCCACCAGAGCCTCCTGCGCACCGCATAACAGCTGATTGTGACAGGCTGAAGGCGTGGGGAGGGAGCGGGAGGCACTGATTGGTGTGGCTGCCAGCGGGCAGGAGGTGCTGCAGGTTTGAGTGGGTGGAGCTAATGGGCTGTTAACATATTAGTGTGGCTCTTTGTCAATGTACATTGGTGAATTCTGGCTCCTTCTCAGGCTCAGGTTGGCCACCCCTGGAGTAGGGTAACAACATCACCCTTGCATGACAGCTTTCTTGTACCTCCCAGCAGACACAGCTTTCAAGGCAGTTCCACAGTTTGACACCTGTGGTGACATATTCCCCTAAAGTGAAGACATGAAGGTGACTCTCAAAGAAGAATAGTTATTGTTAGTAATCTCTCTCCTTAATTCCATTAAATCTGTTATATTGATCCTCTTTATTATATACACCCTCATTTATGAAATATAAGCTCTGTGGCCTCAAGACCTACTTCAGAGAAAGAGACTATGCTGTATTTTATTCTGCAAACCCTTTCCCAATTACTTCTCTTCAAATAATTTATGTAATTTAATAGCTGAAAATTCTTTCTACCCTGAAAAAGAAAATTAGTTGGCTGAGTGTAAACATCGAAGCCAAATAAACAGTTCTGCAAGGTATTTCTCTAGCTCTAATACAAGAGAATGTGCTTTCCTGGGTTGTATGGACAGCTGTTGCAACATTTGTGATGATCTATGAACTTCTGGAAGTTCAGATATGAAGGTAACCTTTTATGGAAGGATTATTCCACATGAATAAACATTTACATTATAATAGGAAAGGATGTGCTAAGTTATTCACAAGAAGCTTCTGGCTTTGGCGAAGTTATGATATATTTCTCATGTAAATATTTTGGGATTTTTAAAAAATATTCTATTTATAATGTATTGGATAAAGTCTGAATGAAATCTGTCCATCATTAATCTGCATTTTGAATGAACGCCAAGTACATACAGAAAAGTAATGTGTTTTCCAATATATAGACAAGTTAATGTACAAAATGATCCCCACAGTGTTATATTCACAAAAGATTGATAATGATTTTTTTTAAAGTGTTTTATACATGGAGAGAAAAATAATGTTCAACATAAAAAGCCCCCAAAGCTTACCAACTTTACAGGAATTCTATAGAATTATACGAATATAAGAATGGCCACACTGGGTCAGACCAGTGGTCCATCTAGCCCAATATGCTGTCTTCCAACAGTGGCCAGTGCCAGATGTTTCAGAGGGAATGAACAGAATAGGACAAATATAGAATGATCCAACCGTGTTGTCCAGTCCCAGCTACTGTCAGACAGTTACAGTAATCAAAGATTGTAAGTCATGTGAGCAATAGCTTTTTATATAGATGGTTTAATCTCTCTTACTTATTAGGTAGATTGCTATTCTTTATTTACAAGGCTTTGTTTAGACTGGCTGCTAATATTTTCTTTCTTTGTTTTGCTACATCTGAATAGAATTGGTGGAATTTGGTAAATCTGTGTGGGTATTTTTAAATCACCTGTCACTGTAGTAGCCAATCACTAGCAATTCAGTGTAGGAATAAACTGAACACTCTAGGGATTAATTTTGCACTGTCTTTTGTGGGGGAAACAGTTGTTAGTTTTCAGAGATCATCTCAAGGATCAGTATCTTGCAAGTTGCTCTTATGATAGAGATCTATTCTTATTTTCTTTTTTGGTATCTTGCATGATTGTAATCTTGGAACTGTTTTCTGAACAATAAATTCCAATTCTCATGCAGTGAATTGAATCAATGCATACTTCAGTATCATTTCAAAGGAATGATTTTTTTTTTAACATTCTGTGTATTTGGGTCCAGTCTGATGCTGTTAGAAAAACCTGTGGTATTTCTGTATTTGAAACATGACAGTTGGTGCCAAACAGTAACTGTCTTAGATTTTAATGCTGTCCTAGAGATTATCATCTAGAAGAATGAATTTTGTCATTCTATATACAGTAGATATTATATGAATCAGAGGTGGTTTCCTCAGTTGACTACTGTATCCAAGAAAATCTTCTATATGGATCTGATCAGAAGCTCACTGAAGTCAATAAGGGTCTTTCCGTTGACTTCAATGGGCTTTGATTCATGCCCTATATTTGAGTCAGATGTTCTTTTAACTGAACTCAGACTAACAGAAGTTCATTTTGGGCGGGGAAGGGGAGCATAAAAAGACTTATTTTCAGCCCCACTGTAGTCAATTAAGGAAGGATAAAGCAGATTGTCAAATGGTCTTTGCTTGTGGGGCAGTGTATCCAGGGGCATAGGCACTTGGACTTGCAGAAGGGGGCTTTTGGTAGAGGAGCGCAGGCCCTCCCACTACACCGGGCTCCATCCCAGGGCCCTGTTAGAGTGCCAAAAGGGTCTGACACCCAGGAGTGCCTTAAGGCTGCCTTCCCTGGGCCACTTCCCACCACCCTGCCATAGTTCAAATCTCGCAGTCTATACCAGAAAAGAGTGGAGGAGATCAGCTCACCACTTGGCATTTCTTTGTGGCTGGGCATGGTGTGCTCTCTCCACCTAGGGGTGGTAGCTGCATCCTCTCAGGCCTGGGCCTTCCATCTAGGTCAGTTCCAACTCTGTCCCCTTCAGGGGTAATCTATAAACAAAACTTGGGGAATCAACACATATAAACTGGGTGGAAAGGGAAAATGCCTTCTCTTTGGGTCTATCAGAAGCAGGTCCTACTTTCCCTCAGAGAGGGACCTTCAGATAGTCGCTGATGGGGAAGATCTTGCTCTCCCTCAGGCCTTTCCTCAGCAGCTGCAAGGTAAAGATCCTATCTTTTCCCTGGCCTTCCCACAAGTGAGTTGTTCTACTCCCTTTTACTCCTCCTCTTATCTGTACGTCTCTTGCAGGTGTGGCAGGGCAGTGCTGGCTGAGCCCAGAGCAGCTCCTTAACCCCTTGTCACCCAGGCTGGAGTTTGTATACACCATCACACTAATAAACAAAATCTACTTATTGTTTCATTTTGAATACTGAGCATTTGTTATTGGAAAAAGTAAAAAGTAATATTTTAAGATAGCCTGGCGATAATATCTGAAAATATGACCCTGCAGTGAAAGTTAGAATACATATCATAAATCTATAAATTTCATAGGGAGGTTGTGGAATCTCTGTCATTGGAAGTTTTAAAGAACAGGTTAGAAAAATACCTCTCAGGGATGGTCCAGATAGTATGTAATCCTGTCTCTGTGCAGATGACTGGACAAGATGACCATTTGAGTCCCTTCTGGTCCTACATTTTTATGATTCTATAAATTAAATATAATCTTTGTGAATTTCACTGCTGGGACAGGTGTTTCCCATTTAAATATGTCTGCTTCACTCAGAACTGTTTTAAGTAAGTTGACAAAGAAATGCCTTCTTGAATGTTTGTGCTGCAGAAATTGCATTTTATTTTGTTTTATAAAGCAGTCAACATTTTTGTATTCTCTTCTCCAGATATAAAAATGTCTCATAATACCATTGCAGTTTGAAAATAGATTTCATGCTGATATTAGAGAAATTCATAAATAAAGGATAGTAGTTTTCATGCTGTAGAATAATACATTTTAGTATATGTAGTCAAAAGGACTATTCATGCTTAAAGGTAAGCATGTGTTTATGTATTTGCAAGGTGGGGGCTTTATAGTCTATATATTTTAACTAGTATATTGTTATAAATTTATTTCATGTATTTGTTTTTGATCTTATGAAATGTTATTTTTTACTGATACTGTACAAGTTACTATAATCATCACTTAAACAGCATGTGCTAAGGTTTACTGATTTGCTAGCCAGTTGTCTTGACAAATACACATGGCATCAATACTTTCCATTAATAACTTTTAGATTCCCATCACAGCTCAGACTTTTTGAAAGGCAAACCGCATCTTGTGCATGCTTTACTTGGTTTCTTGAAAAAAAAAACAGATGAAAGGATTATAATTAGAAACAGTGATGACAGATTATATAAGCAGACATAAACTACTTGGTCACTTATTGTCAGCATTCACTGTCTCCTTGAAAAATGTTTTAAATTACAAGAAAATTGGAATAAAGCAGCAATTTTTGCTCTCATCTTCTGACCTTAAAACTGTATGGTGTCTAAATTGGTTGTATAGATATGAGTATTTATATTTACTCTCTTTCACATAGATTTATATTCAAATTAAAGTTAATACATCCACACTTTGTTAAATTCCACATATGTATTTAAATGAATACTCGTTAAGTAATTTTGCCATGGCTATGTTCATAGGTTTTGTAAGAATAATTATTATCTGGGTGGCATAACCCAATTTATTAATATATTTTTTATTTTATTTTGTTTACATTAGATTGAGGGAAAAAAATAGAAAATTATTAATTTATCAGATATATCTCATGTTACTTGCAGTGCCCTTCATTGCTGCTGGTATTAAGGAATGAATCTGTATGTAGTTTAACCAATTCTAGTTTTTCCATTGGTCATATAAGCAAAATTCATGTCTAGTTAACAGTGTTTCACCAACTTCTTTTCCTTGTGGTACTACGAGGCTATAGTTGCAATAATACGATTATTTTCTCTTATAGCATCAGAGACTTCTTGACATGCTGGATACAGAGAAAGAAGTGTTAGCACAAAAAGTAGAAGCAGCCTTGATGCAACAATCACAAAAACATAAGGTAATGCGTTGAGTACATCAAGTGCTTGATCCTATACTACTGAAGTCAATAGGAGCTTTGCCATTTCATTTAATGGGAGTGGAGTCAGGTTCTAAATATTTTGAGTGTTTGAACCAAATTCTACCCACTCCTCATATGTTGTGTTACAACTTTATTTTACATATTATTTGCAGGAAGCCCTGGAAAAATGTTTGGAGGAACAAGAGAATAGAAGTAAAGAGGCTTTAGCAGCTGCTGCTAAGGTAATTCTAGTTAAATAGTAGATATACAACATAAATACCACGCATTTCATTCAGGAGTGTCATGTTCAGGAATTTGGCTCTGATTCAAAAACTAGATCCATGAAAGTCCAGTTCCACTAAATATATATCATTTCAACTATGTTTAAAAGGGGTCATAATTATACAAATCATGAGGTCTCCTAAGAGATTTAGAGGCTATCATGGAAATCTGCTAACTGCTGATGCAAAATGTAATTTCTTATATTCTACTAATGAAAATAGCACCAGTATTAATTTGCCTTTTTCATGATGTTGAGTCCTTGGGTTATTACAGTGTAGTTATTTGTGGTATCTAAACAAAACAATCTGTTTTCATATTCTCCAGCTGACCGCACTGGTGTTTTGTTTTTTATTTCAAGAACAGATACCAGAGTTGTCATTGCATTTGTCGAGACACTTAACATTGTGTTTTATTTAATATTTTACAACAGAAAGGTCATTTCCAGAAGAAAAACCTAAGTATGTGTGAGTTAATACTCTAATACATATTATATATCCTTAGTAGAAAATTTGTAAAAGTATTGACAGAATATTTCATTCAATTAAATTTAATCAATTTAAACTGTCCTAAGTGATTCAATATATATTGTTTTTAATAAAAAGTTTAAATTTCACCTTTTCTGTCTGATTTGTTTAGTGCTTTTCATTCATGAATGCCTTGGACTCAGTAAAATGATTATTCGATAAGGGAATTAGGTGATAATTTCTAGGCTATATTTGCATATCAAATCTTGGTATATAATCCAGCACAAAAGTCAGGTAATATTATGTACAGAATAATTACCGTACCTATCTTTTAAGACTCTGGGAAAATCTGTAACACCATATGTCAAGAAACAAACAGGCACAATTGATTTGGCCCCACTCTATTACAGGATCAAAAACATCTGGTTTTCTCCAATGAAAACTGTGATCCACATATGTAATTTGCCTTCTGGTTGATAGTGGTATATCTGTGGCTAGTTGTCAACTTTCTTGAATCTCAAGGCTGTGGAACTTAATGTTTGGGTCTGGGAGGTTAATAAGACTCTCTTGAACACCTGTGCCTTTATCCCACTCTTAAGCCACTTCTTTTTCTTCATACTTTAAAATAAATATATCTTTCCCTATATCTTTAAATTATTTTTAAGTTAATAATTGGAAAAGACTGAAGTGTTCTATTTAACCAGAGAACAAACATGCATATGCAAGCTTCTTCCACATTGCCCTACTAATATGCCTCAACCCTGGCCTGGAGACACCGCCTCTGGGGTTGAGAGGCTTGTTTAGTCCCCATTCTTCTTTGAGTAGTATCCCTATGGGTGCTTCACTGTAAGTGTCTCTATGCTTGCTCCACGGTAAGTGTGTGTGTCCATCCCTCTGCTGCTGATTGGAGAAATTTGGTAGCAGGGTCCATCCAGCCTGTGCATGCGCTGTTCCCCGGGCTCTGCCACGAGATTAGTCAGCGTGCGTGGGCGAACCCTCCTCAGTTCATTCTCAATCACTCCTGGTTAGAGACAGTGCTTTAGCTGTTCGTTAGCAGATTGTTAACCTCTTTAGAATTGTTACCCGTTAGCTACGTTTGAAGCTTCTTTTTTCTTTTCTTCTTCGTTTATCTTTTATTTGGCTGTTGCCTTTTTAAAAAAAAAAAAAAAAAAAAAGGGGAAGGGAAGGAGAAAAGGACTTGGTTCTTTCTTCAACCCCCGTCAGGAGACCCCCCCGCCCCCCGGACAGGGCCCGGCTCCCTGGGCTTCGAGAAGTGTCTCAGTTGCAAGGAATCTATCCCAGTGACTGATGGACACTCAGTGTTACCGCTGGCTGGGAGAGAAACACATCCAACAGAAGTGTGGTTTGGTCCAGCAACTGAAGCCCAGATCCAGAAAAGACAGAGAACTGAGGTTCAAAGTCCTACTCATGGAGGCAGCCCTTCAGCGGTCCCCTGGAGAGTGAGAAACCTCACCACAACCTTCTACTTCAAAGGGAGGTGAGCCCAAGTAGATGTCCATGAGCCACTCACGTAAGGCCTCTAAGAAAAGGGCCGTGAGTCCCCACAGTGAGCCCTGATCAAGCCGAAAATGATCTCTGGCTCAATCAGTATCATCAGTACAGATGGCACCAAAGCCATCTAAATCCAGAACCCAAGGCTCTCGCATTACTGTCCCAATAGAGCATGCTGGGTTGCTTAAGGAACCAATGGGAACAGGAAAGGAACTCTCAGGGGAAGGCTCCTGTAGCACAGACATTGACATTGGTATCGCTTGTGGCACGCCAGGCACCAACAATCTGCATACTATCAGGTCCACATCACCGACTCCTTCGGAACAGGCACCTCAGCACCGACTACCACCACTGGTATTGACACCTTCCAGTGCACGACAGATCTTTCAATGTCTGACACATCGTATTCACCTCTGCTCAGTACTTGGGACCCGGTACCGAGTTCACTCGGAACTTTTGACTCTCCGACCTGTTGTCATGCACCACCCTTTTCATCCTCAGATTCAGAAAGTGAGCAAGAGGACGCAGTCTCCTGTTGCTCTTCTCATCCGCCGTATGGTGCCCACATTCACTGTGATGGGTTCCCCCTGGGGTGCCACCTGGAAATGGGGTACCACTGAGCCCCCCTTAACCCACCAGACTGGGCTCCCTTTACACTGTACTGCTGTGACCAGCCTGCCAAGCCTTCTCCCAGGCTCCAGCACACATACAGGTAAGGACACACCCAGTTGCAGTACATACAAACTGCTGTGATCAGCTCTGCACGAGGCGGTTACAGCTAAGGAACTGCCCAGCTGCTCAAGTGCACACCCCCCTCTGGAGTGTAAACCCAAAATTATACCATCTTATGCTGCAAAGAGATCTGTACAGTGTAAGCTCATGACATTTGCCCCCTCCCTCAATGTGGAGAGGAAATATACAACAGCTTTTTGTCCCAAGTTATGACTCCCACACACTGGTTTCTGATAAAACAAAAACAAATATATTAACTACAAAAGATTAAGTGATTATAAGGGATACAAACAGATCAAAGCAGATTACCTAGCGAATCAACAAAAACACAATCTAAGCTTAATATACTAAAGAGATTGGATATGAGTATCAGATTCTCACCCTAAATGATGATTCAAACAGGCCTCAGAGATTCTTAAGTGGCCAGCTGCGCTTGCTAACAGCTTAAAAACCCCAGGTGTTCCTTTCACAGATTAAAAAACTCATTTAGCCTGGGTCCAGCACTTCCACACCCAGTTCAGTCTTTGTTCCTCAGATGTTTCCCAGAGTCTCTTTGGGTGGGGAGTTAGTGAAGAACCACAGTGATGTCGCTCTCCTGCCTTAAATAGCTTTTGCATATGGTGGCAGCCCTTTGTCTCCAAGTTTTGTTCCCATGCCAGTCAGTGGAAAACATTGGTATTCCAAGATGGAGTCCAGTAACAGGTGACTTGGTCACCGGCCCCCATAGTGTCATAGCAGCCCTGAGTCAGAGGCTGTTTACTGTGTCCTCAGGAAGACCTCCCCAGGTGGGAGATAAGATCCTTCTAAGGCCTGTTGTTCTCCCTAATGATTCATTAACTTGAATGGGCCCTTCCCAGCCAGCCATCTAGACTGACAGTCTTTTGCTAGTGGGCGTTCCCCAGGTGTAAATATATTTGTAATACAGATACATTGTCAATATTCCTAACTTCAGATACAAAAATTATACATGCATACAAATAGGATAATCATATTCAGTAAATCATAACCCTTCCAACGATATCTCACATGACCTATCTTGCATAAAATACATCAGAATTATCCCATAATCACATCATCATATTATCACTGTGAAGACTATGGGGTGCAGTGTCACACTCCCTATTAACAAGGCACTCTTGAACCCAGCCAAATCATATGGCAGACCCCCATGTCTGTCCCACCAACATGTAAACGGGCTGAGGAAAAAGTATTGCATGCTGGTGAAAGACATGGAGTTTCTCTTCTCCCACCCACCTCCCAGTTGATCCTAGTGGATGCAGTCAACTCAAAGGGCCGCCAACACCAATTTAAATTCACCCCCTATGACTGGAACTGGAAGATCGGGATCTTTTTGGCAGGAAAACATGCTCCTTAACCGCTCTCCAGTTCTGCATTGCAAACTGTGAAGCCTTACTGGCAAAATACAATTATCAGAATTACTTAAAACTGAACTCCTTTATTGAGCAGTTCCCAGATTCTCATAAGGAACAATTGAAGGCCAATGTCAATGAAATCCAACTGGTGGCTAAAGCATCTCTCCAGTCTGCACTTGATGCAGCTGACCCAGTGGCATGTTTCATCTTGACTGCCATCGTGATGAAACGAGATTCTTGGTTTCACCTATCCAACTTCCCAAATGAGGTTCAAACGACTGAACAGGTCCTTCCTTTTAAAGGGACAAAGCTGTTTGTGGAAAAGACTGACACCTCCCTCCACACCTTAAAAGACTCTAGGGCTACTCTTCAATCCCTCAGGATCTTCACACCTGGGTTTAAGAGAAAATATAGCCTTCAGCCATCATTTAAACCCCACTCATCACAATATCCATCTCATAGGTCATATGAACCTCAGAGGAAGAAGTCCAGGTTCCCTAGGTGGAAACCATTGTGTTCGCGACCTACTTCCTCTCAACCTTCCACCTCAAAGCAACAGTTTTGACAGGTTGGTCAAAGTGCCCATAGAACATTCTCCTCAACATCACCTGATCCTGGAAAACCTCACCCCTCCCTTTGGATGCTGTCTCGCCCCATTCCGCAAAACCTGAGAGTGGATAACCGCCAACAAGTGGTTGTTGGAGATCATTTGAGATAGGTACACCATCCATTTCACCTTCCCCTTCCTCCTTCAGAGACCCTTCTCACGAGAGCCTATTAGGAGAGGAGCTATAGAGCCAGTGCACACACATCTAAGAGGCATATCTATTCTTCCTACTTCCTGATACCTAAGAAAAAAGGAGATTGGAGACCCATCCTAGATCTCAGAGTACTCAACAAATTTGTCAAGGCTCAGAAGTTCAAGATGGTTACAATAGCAATAATTATTCCAGCATTAGAAAAAGGAGACTGGTTCTCAGCCCTTGACCTTCAAGATGCGTATTTCCACATCTCAATCATACTGAGTCACAGATGATAACTCAGGTTTACATTAGACCAAGACCCCTACTAGTGCTCCCTTTTGGCCTCTCATTGGTCCCCAGAGTATTCTCCAAGGTCCTTGCAGTAGTGGTGGCCCATTTACACTCCCAGGGCATTATGATTTATCCTGACCTGGATGATTGTCTTCTCAGAGCATGTTCCTTTGCCAAAGCCCAACGAATCACCATTCCACACTGGATCCATTCTAGAATCTGGGCCTTCAAATCAATGCACAAAAATCAACATTAACTCTTGTACAGAGGCTAGAATTCATAGGAGCCGATCTTGACTCTTTAATGCGAGGGCACTCCTCCCACATCACAGATTCCTCAGCCTCTCCATGCTTCTAGAGACAGTGCAATCCAGCCCACAAATTTCGACCAGACACTGCCTCCAACTTCTGGGGCATATGGCTGTGGGCACATTGGCTATAGCTCATGCCAGACTGCACATGAGATGCCTTCAACCATGGTTCGGTTTACAGACCAAACAGAGACAACATAAACAAACTACTATTGATGCCCATCAAGGTCAAACAATCCTTGGATTGGTGGAAAGACCCAAAAACAACTGCATGGGAATCCCATTTGTTCGGCTTTCCCCATCGTTACTCCTGACCACCAATGCATCCCTCGTAGGATGGGGCATACATCTCGACGGTCTCACACTACAGGGCAAATGGTCTCCATCAGACATGTGCCTTCACATCAATCTACTCGAACTGCGAGTGGCCAGAAATGTGTGTGCTCACTTTCTCCCGCTGATCAAAGGTGCACATACAAAATTCATGATGGACAATATGGCCTGCATATATTACATAAACCGACAAGGAGGCAACAGATCACCCTCTCTGGGCGTGGAAGCACTAAAGCTATGGAACTGGTGCATTTCCCACAATGTCACAATATCAGCGGCCTATGTACCGGGAGCGCACAACATGACAGTGGATAGTTTAGCCACAAATTACCACATGACCACAAATGGGAGATTTGATGATACTCCACGACACATTCTGACAATGGGGGCCACAGACAATAAGCTTGTTAGCCACTTACCAGAACAAAAAATGTCCACAGTACTGTTCCAGAGCAGGGATCGGATGCACATCATGGAAGACATTCTCTTCCTCTCGTGGGACAAGGGCTTTCTTCACACCTTTCCCCCTTTCCCTCTATTACTGAAAGTTCTCTTGAAAATAAAGAAAAAGCAAACATCATACTGATTGCTCTCACCTGTCCCAGACAGACACGGTATCTTTACCTGTCACAACTGGAGCTATGTCCACCAATGACTCTTCCAATCACTCCTTATCTTCTATCGCAGAATGAGAGGTGCACTCTCCATCGCAACTTGAGAATACTGCAGATCTGAGGACGTTCAGAAAGTGTTACTACATAGTAGAAAAGTAGCTACCTGTTGTACCCACCTACCAGACGGAGACTAGATTTTGAATCTGGTGCCAGCCCTAAGGTGTCACCCTAGATATAGCCCCTCTACCTGTAATCCTAGATTATCTGTTGACTCTCAAGAAATCGGGACTCTCTATTTACTTGCTGAAAGTACACTTAGCAGCAGTTGTGACCTTCTACCAGCAGATAGAAGGGTACTCAATTTTTCTCACCCGACTACAAAGAGGTTTCTCAAGGCATAGTGAATGTGTTTCCTCAACCCAGGCATCCTACCCCCACAATGGGATCTCAACCTAGTGTTAAAAGTACTGACCAGATTGCCATTTGAACCTATGGCCTCTTGTTCTTTAACTCACCTTTCCATGAGAACTGCATTCCTGATCGCCATCACCTCTGCAAGAAGGAAAGAGGAGATAGCGGCTCTGACAGAGCATTCCCCCTTCACAGTGTTTTTTCCTGACAAAGTCACGCTTAGACTACATCTGAAGTTCACTCCCAAGGTGACTTTCACATTTCACATGAACCAAATCGTTCACCTTCCGACCGTTTATCTCAAACTTCATCAGGATAATAGGGAAGCCATCCTCCATACACTCGACGTGAGGACAGGACAAGAATTTTTAGAAAACCTCTGAGACTCTCCATTGCAGATAGGTTAAAAGGCACATTAATTTCAGCTCAAAGACTCTCCAAATGGGTATCTAACCGTATCAAACTACGTTACCCAATTCACAGCACAACACTCCCATCTTCAATATGCACTCATTCTATGAGATGGGTCTTCTCGGCAGTCGCCTTCTCCAATGGTATTCCTATATCAGAAATCTACAGAGCAGCTACCTGGGCATCTGCTCATACCTTCACAGAACACTATGCCATCCTGGGGAACTCTACCATAGATGACAGTTTCAGTACTATCATCTATGACAGACTCAACTCCGAAGCCCCAACCTCCGGTGGGGAGCACTGCTCAGGAGTCACCTACAGCGGAACACCTATAGGGACACTACTCAAAGAAGAGGAAGTTGCTCACCTTGTGCAGTAATGATGGTTCTTCGAGATGCTCCTCCCCATCCTCCTCCCCTCTATTTCTGAGTTTCTTGTCATTGACTCTGTGGTAGAGAAGGAACTGAGGAGGGTTCACCCGTGCACGCTGGCTAGCTTCATGGCAGAGCACGGGAGCAGCGCATGTGCAGGCTGAACGGACACTGCTACCAAAGTTCTCTAATCAGCAACTCATTTTTTTATTAACTAACAAATAGCCATGGTAATATTTTGGGGGGCATTACCATCCTGGGTCCAGATATGCACTAGTGATATAGAAGTGAAAATATCTGTTGTTCTTATATCACGTAAGCCTGCCAATCCTTCTAAATGAAGTGATTCTAACGATTCAGGCATTCAGTATTTTTTGTCATTCACTTTTGCTTTGTTTCAAAGATTGAAAAAGAAGTAATGCAAGAGGCCATTTTAAAAGCAGTCGAAGAGGAAAGGAGAAACATGGAGAAAATTCATGCAAAAGAAAAAGAAATATGGCAGGCCGAATGTGTCAAAGACAAAGAAAAGATTGCTCAGGCTCTGCAGGAGGCTGTGCAAGAGCAAAGAAAAACCAGTCAAGTAAGTACATTTTACCTTTTCATAGAGCTGTTTGTGTTCTTTATTGTTTCAAAAGCCATGTTTAAACTCTTCTGAATGACTACATAATGTTTAGTTAGATCCTTTAAAAATGTAAACATTAAGTTTTTATCAAAACATGTAAAGGGTTCTAGGCATTTTAACAGCATATTAATTACCATAAATATGTCTGTCTTTTGTATTCTCAGGACATGAAGTATCTTTTATTTATACTTAAAATTCAACATCAAATTTCTTTCTTTTACAATGGGTTAGAATTCCAGTGTCTCGTTATTTATACACCAATTATTCTAAGATACCATATAGAATGAAGACAGAGAAAGCAATGGAGATTGGATGGATGAAAAAAACAGTGAATAGTGAAACTTTTCTAGAGAAATTCTTAAGTAATATTAATGCTCCGATGAGGGTTGAGTGTGCGTTACTTATACAAGTTGAAACAGAGTCTTTCCTAACCATGCTTTAAAGGAGATAATAGCAACTACAAATTAAATATGTTGCAATAATGGTTATACATTCTTCCAAAAACCATGTTGTCTCGTCCATTATAACAACCTCTTTTTTTCAGTAAGCAGCCAAGAAATATACTGGATTTTTGGCATCCTATTTTAATATTGGTCCAAAATGTCCAAAGAATAACTTTGAGCAAAATGAATTTAATTCAGATGTTGAATTTCTAACTTTTTACCATGATTTTGTAAACCCTACATAAGCAAAAACAAAAACATTAGCTTTTAAAGTGTGATAGACATACTTAGCAAGTCACAGCAAGTCTACAGAACATATGTTAAGAAACAGGCTGCATTTTCCCTACATACATTCTCCTCTTTCAGTTTAACTAAATACCGTATTCTTCTTCATTTCCTGCCCTAAAGTTGTGCAAAATTATGTGCTATGTTATTAAATAAACTGGTAAATAAAGTGATTCCTGTAGTATATGTACATAATTTGTATGTGTTTGCATAAACAACACTAGTAAATAAGATATCACTATAATAAAATTCTGGAAGTCAAACGAAAACATTTTTCCTGCTGAACTAATCTGGGTGTGTCACACATAAATTGACAGTTTATAATCAGTAGATGTTAGATGGAGCTTTAGTTTATCATATTGGTCAACTGAAAGTCAAGTGGTAGATCTGGCACATCTTGCAGATTACCTACTAGGACAGGCAATTAGTCTGCTAACATTATGTGTCTGAGTACAGGCTTTGGAAGCAGAACCGTATTTGACATTCAAATTATTCCATCATTATGCTTTATTTTTTCGGCAGATACAAGCTAAATTTTATTTTCTTGCAATTGCTGTTTACAAAGGATAACCACACTTAAGTCCTTTCAAAGATAGTAAAACATATAAACAATCTGTGAGCACCTAGATCAGAGGGCAAACTACATCCGGCCCGGCCCCTGAGCTCCTGGCCCGGGAGGCTAGCCCCCTGCCCCGTTGCTCCCCCTCCCCTGCAGCCTCAGCTCACTGTGCCGCTGGCGCAATGCTCTGGGTGGCCGGGCAGCGGAGCTGCAGAGGCGCGGCCTGACCCAGTGCTCTGGGCAGCGCTCCAGGCAGCGCGGTAAGAGGGCGGGGGAGTTTGGGGTGGTGGTCAGGGGGTGGGGGTGTGAATGGGGGGGGTCAGAGGGTGGGGAACATTAGTGGTTGAATGGGGGCAGGGGTCCTGGGGGGGCAGTCAGGAAGGAGAGGGAGGTTGGATGGGCTGGTGGGGGGCATTGGGGGAGGGTCTGAGGATGGACAGGGGACAGGGAGCAGGCGGTGATGTATGGGGTAGGCGTCCCGGGGGAGCTGTCAGGGGGCGAGAAGCAGCGGGGGTCGGATAGGGGTCGGGGGCCGGGCCACACCTGGCTGTTTGGGGAGGTACAGCCTTCCCTAACCGGCCCTCCATTCAATTTTGGAAACCCGATGTGGCCCTCACGCCAAAAAGTTTGCCCGCCCCTGACCTAGATAAAGAAATGATGACAACTGGCATATGATTTAATTGTTTACACTCTGTTATAAAGTAAGGGCATCCTTAAATCTTTTCAATACAGAGAGAATATTTATGTTGAATGTTGCTTCACGTGCATCCGTCTTCATTGGTTCGGGGTCATCACCTCCAGGCTTGTTTTTATTATTATGCTTTGTATCCTGGAAATAAACTGCTGAGCTTGATAAAATAAACAAAAAACATCACCTCTATTTGGTTACAGGCTGCTCAGAGTACAGTACCAAAGCACTCTGCCTCTTTTCATTCCTAATTAATACTGGGTCAAATTCAAAGTTTTAGTCCTTCTCTTCAAAGCCTACCAAAGATTCATCTAAGTTACCTTAGATTCTACCTCACTTGGTGTGATGTTGACTTCTGCCAGGAGCTACCTTCCTTTGGAACAATGGAACTGTCCGCCTCAAGAGTGAGACTTGTAAGTGGAGGAGACAGAACTTTCTCTGTGACTGGCACATATATCTAGAACTCAATACTAGGAAAAATCAGCATGAATATCACTGACAAACTTACTTCTTTTGCTTAGCTTTCTGAAATTAACAGCAAGGGAAAGAAATAACATAACCTATCTGTTGGGAAATACAAATATATTTGAGTACACTTTTTCATAAATTTGGAAGGTGTTCAAATATCCTGGTGGTAAATGCAATATAAAAAACCTAGATACATATAGCCATAGAGATTTTTGTGTTGTAATTTAATATGAATAAATGGTCCAAACTGCAAACTACAAGGAAGAGAAATGAAGCATGTCATTTAAGGAGGTGGAGCATTTCTGCTCTAGCACAATAGTCTGCAAAAATAGAAGAAAAAGAGCCACTATAGACATCTCCTGTATTTAAGGTGAGTAGCAATGAGACTGTATGGCAGGGGTCTCAAACACGCGGCCCGCGGGCTGCATGCAGCCCGCAGGGTGATTTTCTGCAGCCCGCGAGCCCCTCACAGCCCCCCCGCCCTCCCCTAGTGTTTACCAGAGTGGCGGCCGGACGTGCACCGGGGGCAGGGCAGGCTCCCTGCCTGCCTGTCTGCCCTGCCCCCGCAAGAGGCTGGAACGTGGGGAAGCGGGGGCAGAGGGGCTGTGTGTGGCTGTTTCTTTAGGCAGCGCCCCCAGCAGCTCCCATTGACCGGGAACGGGGAACCGTGGACAATGGGAGCTGCTGGAGGAGGTGCCTCAAGCAACAGAAACACACAGCCCCTCCGCCCCCCCTTCCCCATGTTCCACCCTCTTGCGGGGGCAGGGCAGACAGGCAGGCAGGGAGCCTGCCGTGCCCCCCGAACCCCTCCTGCAGCCGAACCCCCTGCCCTGAGTCCCCTGCTGCACCCCAACCCTCTGCCCTGAACCCCCGCCACACCCCGTACTCCTCTTGCACCCCGACCCCCTGCCCTGAACCCCCTGCCACACCCCGTACTCCTCTTGCACCCCGACCCACTGCCCTGAACCCCCTGCTGCACCCCTCTTGCACCCCGACCCCCTGCCATACCCTGCACCCCGACCACCCCGCACCCCTCCTGCATCCCAACCCACTACCCTGAGCCCCAAGCCATACCCCTCCTGCACCCCGACCCCCTGCCTGTACCCTGCACCCCGACCCCCTGCCGCACCCCGAACCCCCTGCCACACCCTGCACTCCTCTTGCACCCCAACCCACTGCCCTGAGCCCCCTGCCGCACCCCACACTCCTTGCACCCCAACTCCCTGCCCTGAGCCCCCATCAGGGGCAGGGAGGGGGCAGAGCTGGGGTGGGGATTTCGGGGAAGGGGTTGGAATGGGGGCAGGGAAGGGGTGGGAAGAGGCGGGGCAGAGGCGGGGCCTCATGGAAGGGGTGGAGTGGGGGCAGGGCCGAGGGCGGCGGTGAGGGGGGGGGAAGATGTCAGTAATGCGGCCCTCGGGCCAATGTACTAGTCCTCATGTGGCCCTCATGGTCATTTGAGTTTGAGACCCCTGCTCTATGGCGTGGAAGCATGACCCTAGCAGTGATGACTGAAAACAACACAAGAAGCTGAAGACATTTGTAAATCTCCCAAACTTCCCATGGGATAAAAATCCACCTAGAAGTAGAGGATGGCTGAAACAAATTTTGGTGTCATAAAGTTAACCCAGAGCAAGACAATAGAAGCAAAAACCCAGAAAAATCCACAACTAGCCATGAAGACCAAGGAGATTGTGCAGTTGGGTGTAGACACAGGATTAACAGTGGAAAAACAGGAATTCAGTTTTATCTTAAAACTGCCAAGGACCAAGAAAAAGAACTTCAGTCAGTGCCAGACAAGTTAAAAGCTGAGAAGATATATACAAATGTGAAATGCTTAGAAGCAAAAATAGATTAACTAGAATGTCTGGCAAAGGAAAAGAACCTTGTCATAAGACATTTCTGAAACATGTTTGAATGCTCCAAAAATCAATGGGATATTGTAGTACTGGAGTAGAAACTATATAAGAAAGATGTATTAGATTGTATATGAGGGGGAGTAGCTCTATGCAGTACACCTCTACCCTGATATAACGCGACCCGATATAACATGAATTCGGATAAAATGCGGTAAAGCAGCGCTCCGGGGGGGCGGGGCTGTGCACTCCGGCAGATCAAAGCAAGTTCGATATAACGTGGTTTCACCTATAACACGGTAAGATTTTTTGGCTCCTGAGGACAGCATTATATCGAGGTAGAGGTGTATCTGTAAAATTCCAGAAAATCTAATGAAGTAAAATTTGAGTGGTGAGGATCATCCAGTATGGGTATAAACCTCAAGTCTTCAGAGTACAACTATGTTGGTAAGGTTGTACTATTGGTTTCAGGAAAAAATATACCAAGGCCCTGGATCCTTGTATCTGTCTGTCTTTGTTTTGAATGGGGAACTGAAGATTAAATAGTTTATTACATAGGAAATCAAAAAGTTGTTATATTTAAAGTGTTTGAAGTATTGTATTCAGAGAATTCAGAGGAAATTGCAAAAGTTCAAAGAATTCATAGAAAACCTAAAATAAAG